AGAGAAAGGAGAACTGTAACCAACCAACTTAAAGCCTACCTCGTCACAGAGTGAGAACCCTGTTTCAAAACACAAAACAACACCTCCCTCCTCAAGTAATTCTAGGCAGAAGTATATATATATTTGTCCTAGGACCATGTGTTGAAAAGATAATTCTTGATACCCTTAAGGCTTAATCACTTAATTTCCTTGTTATTTTAATGGATCATAGGTGTTTTGAGTTTATCTTTAAATTCTCACATGTATTTACTTAGTTTTTTAGGTTTTTTGAGAGAAGGTCTGATTATATAGTCCTGGATGCCCTAGAACTTTCCACGCAGACCAGGTTGGCCTCAAACTCCTGGTGAGATCTCACTGGAAATGATTTCTTTATGAGAGCTCTTCCTTATGCCAGGACCGGTGGCTTTGAATGCTGCACCCTTGGAAAGTGTGGAAGTAGAAGGTGTTAGTCTTCCAGTTTCCTTTCAGATTGTTGTGGTGCTCTGGGCCCCTTCTGTTTCCATGTGAAGCTTAAGTTCATGTGTTCATTTCTGTAAACAACAAAACAGTACTTCAAATTGTTCTCTTTGGTATCTTAACTTTTTAAACCCTTCTGACTTTTTTCATGTTTGGGTCTTGGTTTTATGCTGGTTCATCCTGCTTTGAGAGTCTTTGCTAGCTTTCCTGTGACTTTCCATCAGTGTATTGTACAGATCCATATCGACTGTGGTAGGATGAGAGAGGGCTGAAGGATGAAGCAGAGTCTACCTGATACCTACCATTCTCTACTGCAGCTGCCCCTTAGCCTGCCAGATTGCTGACATCCACACAGGGCTCTTGCTGTCTCAGATTAACTGCTCATTGTGTTCTACCTGGGGAGCACATTTTTGGTCATTGTCACCATTCCTATCTGGGAGCAAATACGTCTCCTTAAAAGAGATAATTAGGTGGGAGGGGTTGATCTGTAATTTAACTTCTGTGCATCACCAATCAGCTATGTGGTCAGTTTTACAGTCAGCTTCCTGCTGTCTCCCTCTGCAGCCTGAGCTCACCTGTTTAAACCAGTGACATCAGCACTCATCCATTCCTCTTCTTGGTTCTATGGGACTGACTTCTTAGTCTGTTCCCTCAGCTTTTTCTTTTTCTGTTCATCGCTCACTGGTTCCTTATAGTTTTAGTCTATTAGGACATTTTTTTTTCTTTCTTTCTATTTTAGATTTTTTTGTTTGTTTTGTTTTGATTTTTAAGACAGGGTTTCTCCATGCAACCCTAGTTGTCCTGGAACTCATTCTATAGACCAGGCTGGCCTCAAACTCACAGAGATCCGCCTGCCTTTGCCTCCCAAGTGCTGGGACTAAAGGTGTGCACAACCACAGCTGCTTCTTTTTTGTTTGTTTTGTTTTTTTTTCAAGACAGGGTTTCTCTGTAGCTTTGGAGCCTGTCCTGGAACTCACTCTGTAGACCAGGTTGGCCTCGAACTCACAGAGATCTCCCTGTCTCTGCCTTCTGAGTTCTGGGACTAAAGGCATGGGCCGCCACCACCTGGCAGTGTACTGTGGCTGCCCCCTCTGAGGTTCAAGCTCAGGACTTTCAGATTATAAGACTGATGGGCTGCCTACTGTGCTAAGGAGGTGCTTGTCACATCCAGCTTCTATTGTAGATTTATAAAAAGATGACATTATTTATGATTTGGGGAGAAGGTGAGTTAGCTTGTGTCTTTCTAAGCCTTTATTTATAGTCAGTGTCTATGGTGAAGTAAATTTTGTAAAAAAGAAATAAAGCTAGCAGGCAAAATATTGATTAGCTCATTGGGGACATGATATTTTGCTTTGTGCATATTCCTTTTACAATAAGCACTAGTGGAAATTTGTAGTTTGTTTGAGTTCCACCACAAGAGCTTAATGTTTGTGTAAATTTTAATGATTAGAAGTTTAGGTCAGGAATAAATTTATGTGAAATTTAAAAGGTGCACGTTTCTTTAAAAATACAGAAGTGCATGTGCATGTTATTGTTATGTTGTTAGTGCTATGCTACTGTGCCTTTCCTCTCCTTCCCCTTCTTTATTCTGTTTCCCCCTCTCTCTCTGCTCTTTGGGTGACTAAGAGCACACGGGTCCTGAACTCAGCACCCACTTTGATGGAATAACTTCCATGGAGCTAGCATTAGCTTCTTCCGAGACAGAAATAATATGTTGGTTGCTGTGAGAGAAACATGCCAAAGATGTCTAACAGAAGTTCTAATAAAACAAAATGGGGTGGGGCTTAGGATCGAGCCTAGGGTCCTGTGCATGCTGGTCAAGTGTGCGCTATACTGAGCTACACACCCAGCTCTCCAAAACATCTTTGATTACAGCTTTGATTCACTAATTTTTAGTGTTACTTCAATATTATTCTAAAGTAGTTTTACGTTTCACATGGCAGCCAGGTGTGGTGGCGCACACCTTTAGTCCAAGTAAGGAAGATACAGGCGGATCTCTGTGAGTTCAAGGCCAGCCTGGTCTACAGAGTGAGTTCCAAGCCAGCCAAGGATACACAGTGAGACCCTGTTTCAAAAAATTAAAAAACAAACAAACAAACAAACAAACAAAAAAACCAAAAAATTCATATGACTATATTATTTCGTGTAAATAATAGGCCATATAACTTTTGGCTAATATAGAAGGAATAATTACCCCAACCTACATCTTAACTACACTGTTAACAGTTTGGTGTGTTTCTTTCCAATATTTTTTAAATTATATTTTCAAAAAATTAAAGTAATATGGTATTTTTTTTCCAGTCCAAAAGTTATGTGTACTTGATGAGAATACTTAAAAAATAAAGACGAGCGCAAAGGGAAAAAACACTCATAAAATCCACCTAAAGATAATCATAATTAAATTTTGTTGTTTATCTTTTTTATATTTTTCATGAACATATACTTTTTTTAACTAAAATTTTATATTATAATACTACTTTGTAACTGATCATTTGCAAAATATTGTGAATGTTTGTTAATGTTAATAGTCATATAAACTTTTAAGTGGTGTGTAGCATATGGATGTATTTAAGTATGTTTAACTGACATACTTAACCATCTCCCTATTGTTGGACATTGAAAGTGTTTTTATTTTTTTACCATTATAAATATTACCACAGTTAATATTTGTCCATACATCTTTCTATGCATCTGTGATTGTTTCTTTAGGAATAGATCCCTAGAAGTGGAATAGCTGGGTCAAAGGGTATGTACACTTCAACGCGTTTGATACATGAAAATGTCAAATGTAAGCTAACCTCATGTTATATTCTGTCTTGTATTGCTATTCAATTGTTTTGTGTGTCTTGTCTTGTTTTTCTACTCGGAACGTAAGTGAGAATAAGAGAAGTCTCTTGCATATGCTAGTACCCCTTGGCAGTATGGCTTCCTGTGTTGGTTTCATATCGTATTGATTCAAAGCAGTGGTTCTCCAGGGTTTTGAATGCCATAACTTGTACATTTAAAAATGCATGTGTGTGGTGTAGTTTAGAGTAAATTTAGGTTTGCAAATTTTCTATTTTTCTAGGCAAAGACATTTAGAAATAAAACCAAATAAAATTTTCTATCCCCATCCTCTTAGGAAGTAAAGAATATTTAACAATACAAAAGGATAGACCTCTGAAGAGAACATGTTAGCTTTTTGTCCATATTTTTATCATCTTATATTGGGCTAGGAATTTCACCTTAACCTAGAAGTGAACTAGAGACCAGCATTTGGGAACCACAGACTTAAAAGAGTTTAAAGCATTGAAATTGGAACCCTTTGCAAGAGTAGAAGTTCCCTGTGTCTCTCCACAGTATTGTGAAGGTCATGCTGCTGCTTTAAACAGAGTTTGTGTTTGTCCTTGTCAGTGTTTGACTAAACAAGCAAAGCGCTGCTGAGCATCTGAGTATAATTCCAATCTCTTAAAACAACATCTACTGGATGTGGGAATTGGAGCCAGGGTAGGTGTGATAGAGTGGAAAGAGGGGATGTTAGTTGGGCCAGCTCCTCGCCTTCCGCCACCCATCAGTTTTCCTTGCTTCCTTCCTAACATAGTGACGACTACGATGAGATCTGTGGCAGGTTTTATAGCCCTTGTTATACTTACTTCACTGTGATTGTTTGTTTATACAAATCTTTTGCTTACCTGTGCATGCGTTCTTCCAGGTAGGATGAGTCATCCCCTTCTTTTGCAGCTCTAGGTCCTAACACAGGGATCCGGGCATAGCAGGTGCCTAAAAGAGTGCGGAGGACCTCTGGATTGTTGAGGGGGTTCCGTGATACAATGTGTGTGGAAGTGCTTCCTAAACTTTGTGTTATGCCAACACTGGTCACTTTTGTTTTTGACAAGAGCGATTTTAATGGCGAGTCTCAAACCTTTGGAAAGAGAAAATTGCTCCTTTGAACAGTTCTTTTAGTGCATTATATTTTCCTGCTATTTGTAAGAAAACAAATTTTAATTGGGGGTCAGTGTGGAGCTAATTTGCTTCCTAGGAAAGCAAAGTACTCCTGCTCCCTATGCTACATGGAGGTGCCCTGGTAGCAAATGTTTGTTTGACTTGGTTATCATCTAATTTTAATAAGACCAGAGACTTTCTTATTATTAAAGGCGGTGTCCATTGCTTCCTAACCAGTAAAGAAGGGCACCAAGCCTTGAGCAGAGGAGTCTGTGTTATGCCTGGTGCTTTTGGGTAGAGCTCCTTTTCTAATTGCTTCTAAAATTCCTGGTAAATTTTTGCCACAAGATGGCAATGGTGATTACTTGAGTGTATATGCTATTGAAGCAGCTCAAAAGAGGTGCACATGAGTGTATTGTTTGGGGTAAGAGTTGAAGGCTTTCATCGCTGCTTATGTATTATTTCATTTTAACTTCCAGAGTTAAATGATACTTTATATCACTTTCCTTCTGTATTCAAGTATTGTTTTGTTCCCTGTTTTTCTGTCTTTATAATACAGTAACGATGTATTATTTGCCATGTGTTGTATGTGTCTGACTCACTGCTGATGATTGTGGTGACAGGTAAGAAGAAAATACGATGGGACCCAGTTAGGAGACGCTTCATTCAGTCCTGTCCTATCATAAGGATCCCTAACAGGTTCTTGAGAGGTGGGTGATCACTAGCAAGAGGTCTGTGCTTCCTGTGGGTTGAAGGGAATTTTGAATGGATTTTCTAAATTCAGAACTGTTTTCTTTAAGTTGTCTAGCAGCCAACATTGAAGTAAAAGACAATAGGCCTTAGTTTTAAATTTATGTTTTTCACTGACCACTGTTGGAATTGTAATGACAAGTTTGGGGGAAGGTAGGCTCTGTTAATGTGTCCATGATGGTTGAGTAGATGACCACAGCAGTACCAGTGGCAATCCATGTAACCTTCAAGTGTAGGATGTGATTCTAAATTAGAGATAAAGGAGGATGTGATAGTCTAAACTAAAAAGAATCCCTTTGTATTAAACTGTAAATAAAAAGCCATGGAAAGCATTTGTAACAGGTAATTAATATGAATATAAAGAGCTCCTAGAAACTAGTCATCTCTCCCTACTGGAAAAATATGAAATGCATATGAATAGTCAATAATAAAGAAATGCTAGCAGAGGAGCACAAAATAGCTCAGCGGGTAAAAGTGCTTGCTGCCCAGCCAGGTGACCGGAGTTTGACCTCTGAAACCCAGCCGTCCAAACCAAGAAATTACTCTGACTTCCACACATGTTCTGTGACACAAGCATGTGCATGTACACACAGCATATGCAATTTATGAATAAATAACACATAAGTGTAATAAAATGTTAAAAATGCCAGTAAATATAAATGTCACTTAATTCACTACTGTGAAATAAATATAATAATATAATATTTTACTTATTAGATGGGAAGATTAAAATAAAACTACCCATGTTGGCAAGGGTATGAGCAAAGAAAGCTTGAATTGGCTGAGGTTTTATGCAGACCCTGAGTGAAGCATTGCTCAGATGAGGATTGAAAACTTTAGCTCACTTTTTTTTAAGCTATAGCAAATTATCAGACAAGCCTGCTTGATGTTGCAATTTAGACCTTATTAAATTACAAGTCATTTCATCTAACTTTAATTGAAGAGATTCAATTAAAAACCTAAGCTGGGTGTAGCTGCAGTACACCTTTAAGGCAGGCAGATCAGTGAGTTTCAAACCAGCTTGGTTTACATACCAAATTCCAAACCAGCCAGAGTTCAACAAAAAGTTAATACCTAAGGAAAAATTCTACAGCCTTGTATAGATGTTTCTATATCTAGTGTCTAACATATTTTTGGCAGCCAAAACATGAAAAACTAAACATGAAAGAGCTAAAACCAGGCCTAAATGAATCAAGATAAGACAATCAGTGATAGCGAGCCACCTTTCACCATCCCAAAAGTAATTAGGATATAGAGTTTCATGAGAAAAACAAACAAATAACAACAACAACAACAACAAGAACCATTTGTGTGAGGCTGGAGAGATGGCTCAGAGGACAAGAGCACTGTGCTCTTGTGTGGAAGACCCCACCAGTTGCCAGCACCGCATGGCGGCTCACAAGCATTCATACCAGTCCCAGAGAACCTCATGCTCTCCTTTGGCTTCTGCAAGCATCAGGTACGCAAGTGGTGCCCATATCTGCAGGTAAACACTCAAACATGTTAAAAAAAAAAACAAACTTTTAAAACCGTGTAAAATCCTATAAAAATATAAAATGACAGAAGAAATAGTACAATCAAGATTCCCCCTCCCCCAAAAAAACCTTGGTTATATCGGCATGGTAGGTTTTTTTTGGTTTTTGCATAGTGTCCATTTAAAAAAAAAATTAACCATGGAGAAAAATTCTGCACAGGTAAGTTTTATACTATTGGACATTTGTAAGTCCTAAATTCAAAATGACTGAGAAAATTGGTGATGGAGTAAGGTGGGAGCAGGCTTAGCATTAGGGGTATAAAGATCACCACAAGCCTCCTTTGAAGCAGTGGCCTTGTCTGCCTTCCCACCTTTGACCAGTTTGACTGTTTGATGCTGCTGGCCACCTGCATTTTCCCTTGGGGTAACAGCACTGTATGATCCTAGATGTTTCCTTCTTCTTTGTCCATTCTGTTCCCTTCCCCAGTTTCTTATTTCCATCCATTAAAGGTGGGAATTCAGTGTTCTGTCCTTTCTCCATGATCTCTGATTGTCCCATCAGCTTTCTTAGGTTTAACTCTCTGTTCATCATTCATTTCTTCATTTGGTATTTCTGGATTGCTTCCTATGTGACAGTTTCTGTACTTGCTAAATTGATGTTGAAAGTCTTAGAGAACCAGGTGAACAGACAATTACAGAGTAATGGAGATGAAATTATTTGTGATAAGTGTCCTGATAAGGTGGTATGGCATGGTATACACCAAAGAGCAAACGGAGAAGAGGCTGACAAAGTAGCGGCATTCGATTCATTCATTCATTTATTTATTTAGGTTGCTTAAATCTGAGCGGGTGTTTGCAAGGGAAGGGTAGAATTGCAGACCACAGGTGCCAGGTAGCTTGAATATGGTGTTTATGCAGACCCAGACATACATGGCACTTTCCAGGGTTTACAGCAAGTTTGGCATAGTGGCAGCTAGAAGCTGGAAAGGGCCAGATAGAAGGAGCACCACTGAAGAATTTTCAGGGTCAGACTTGGTTTTGTAGCTAGTAAAGAGATAATGATTACACTTACCAAGGCCAGGAAAGCTGCAGCCTGAAATGAAGGTGGCTGTAGTAGGAATGGGGGGTGGGTAGGTAATTCCAAATCTGTATATGCCAAAGTAGACGAGACTTGATCACTAGTCGACAAATAGGAGGGAAAAAGAAGCAGTGACTTCCAGGGGCTGAAGAGATGGCTCAGTGGTTAAGATGGCTCAGTGGCCGCTCTTGCAGAAGACACCCTCTCTTGGCCTCTTCAGGCACCAGGCACACACATGCATACGGAAGACAAAATGCTCATATACATAGAATACAAATAAATATTTTTTAAAAACAGCGTCCAGATTTTCTGTGTGACTTGCTCTGCTCTTCTCTGGGCATGGCAAGGATAATCACAAGGCAGGTTTTAGGAACACATTCCCATTAATCTGCAAACCGGTAGTTGATTATCCCTTAACTAAGAAGTATTTCCAGAAAAACCCCTATTCTTTCTTAATTGTTTTGTTTGTTTGAGACAGAGTCTCCTGTGTAGCATCAGCTATCTTGTAACGAGCTTTGTAGATCAGACTGACGTCAAACTCCTGACTCTGTCTTGGGGATCAAAAGCGTAGACCACCACCACCAGGCTAAACCTCTGATTCTTTAACACTAAATTTAACAGTTATTTCCTGGAAAACTTGGAAGGCCTGTCCCCTCTCTGTTCTGATGTCACCTTCGTGTATTACCTGTATCAGCACTGGTCACATGGAATTCTGCTCACTTGTGTGCCTTCCTGAGCTCAGGCTGTAAGCGCTTCAAGAATGGGCCAGTAGGACAGCTGCTCCGACTTGTGTCCATTCGGTAGCACAGTGCACGTGAGAGGGTATATCGAGTTAGGTCTAATTATAAAACTGTTGTCAGGGAAGAGCACAGGTGTAGATTTTAGTATGTCCTCAGCTGTTCTCAGTTGTAGTGGTAAGTTAATGGATTGCTGAGGACACAAAACACGCTTTTGCAGTGGTTCATTGGGTGTTTTCGTAAAAAACAACCTTATTTATACTTTAGAAATAGCCTTTTTTCAAGCCTTTCATTTTGGAAACCCCTTGTCTTGATTGAAAACAGTTTCATGGGTCTGTTTTCTGTAACTAGATCCTACATTTTCTCAAAAGAGATTTCTGCCAATTAACAGTGTGGTGTGGTAAAAGATAGTTTGGATATGTTAAAATGCTGAGTTTCCATCACGAAGCTGTAAACTGAAAGTACATACCTTCCTCAGTTCTCCAGTACCATTGAAAATGAAAAAAAAATTTGAATGATGATGTTATTGTTTTGTACTAAAAACAAAAGAAAAGGAAGTTTGGAGTCAGATTAATTATCTGCATCTGCATCCAGGCTCTGCCATTTGCCAACTGTAGGACCTTGGGCAAGTGCTTGCTTCATTATTTGCCTCAGTTTTCTCATTTGTAAAGTTAGAATGGTGATAATAGTATCTATTTACAGAGAGAAATATCGAGAGAGAATGTGTACAAAGTTTTTAATTACATTTAGGAACATTTAGTTAATGTTAGCTGCTAGTTTTTATTATTGTTATAATACCGGGAGTTTTGAGGAATTTCGGGGTAACCAAAAACAAGTGGGTGGTGGAGGATGGAGCCTAATGGTAGAGCACGTGGCTCTATGAATTCAGTTCTCTGCAAAGTACTGCAAAGCTAACTGGAAACGAGGCATGGCGTCCCATGCTTGTATCATAGAAGTGGAAGGGAGAGGTAGGAGGATCAGGAGTTCAGGTCAACATCAGCTCCATAGGAAGTTCTGGAACATCTTGGGCTACACGAGGCTGCCTTAAAAAATGGAATTACTCCATATGGGAAACCAACACTGAATATAATGTAGTTCAAAACCAGGTGTTCTTGATATGTGGTGATATCAGAGACTTTGTTTTTATTTATTTTAATTATTTATTTATTTATTTTTTGAGACAAAGTAGTTCTAGCAGGCCTGTAATTTACTATTTAGACCAGGCTAGCCTTGAACTCACAGAGCTCTGCCTGTCTCTGCCTCTTGAATGCTGGCATTAAAGATATGCACCCCCACGACTGGTCTCACGGTGTTGTGCTGTTGCTGTTTTTTAAAGACTCAGTCTCAATATGTATGTGGCTTGATGGCCTGGAACTCACGCTACAGACCAGTTAGCCTTGAATTCACAGACTCCGTTTCTGCCTCGTGGGTGCTGGAATTTAAGGCGTGTGCTACCATGCTTGCTTTGCCTTTTTCTTTTCCTCCACCTCCTCCTCCTTTTCCTCTTTCCGCTGCTGCTGCTGCTTATTTTCTTAACTAGTGTTTTTTTTTTTTTTAATTATTTTTATTTTATATTAAAGTCAAGGTTCTCACTAAGTAGCGCTGGCTTAACTGAAACTTGCCGGCATCAATTCACAAAGATTGCTGGAATAAAAGTGTGAACAGCTATGC